CAGGGCTGAGCAGGAAACTGGACTGTACTGACCCAGTCAGCTCCCTCCCTGAGAGTTTACAGCTGAAGTTACCACCCTTGTTAACACTTCAAAGAAAGCCTATGTACCTAGTAAGTAACAACAGCAGCTCAGCTGTACTTGAAGGAACCAAAACTTTATGTTTAATCTATGCTAGACAGCTTTTAAGCTATGCAGAAGCTTATGTTCACCTTCATGCTACAGTGTGTTTTGAGGGAATAATGCAAGTTCATTCCTATACAGTCGCCATTCATCTGCTGCTGAATTTTCTACTATTTATTGTACAGGAAGGAATACTGCTTTATTTAAATGTTCTCTGATTTTGGCCACTTCTTGCTTTTTCCTTAGTCCCATAGAGTTGACACAGCATTATAGTAAGGAGTTCACAAAATTAAAACAAGTAGTAGTAGTAGGAATCAGACTCTGTCATAAAATTGAGACTGATACAAGGATGATGATCATACTTTTAATAAAAGTATATTTTAATAAGAGTATAAGAGCATATTTTTAGTAAGGGTATATAGGCAATAATGAAGCTGATGGGTTTTCTTGAATAATCAAATTCTAAAATTCAGAATTGTTCTTGAAAATACCCACCAGCCTTGCGTTTCAGTTTTCTGACAACAAAAATAACAACAATTTAGCATGTGCAAACTGTAAACTTCCCCAGCTAAGCCAGACCATGCAAAACACTTCATCATGTTTTCAAAATGCTGACCATAAAATAAACAGGATCTCAGAAAGGGGAAGAACCTGAGCTGGGAAACTGCAATATTACTATCAGGCCTCCGCATACTTCCCTTCTGTCCCACAGCAGCTGGCAAAGCAAACTCCTCAGCAGCCCTCACACCTAAGCCAGTAACTAACTACAGTGGATGAGGAATACGTTGAACTCTGAATTTCCAATATTTAAGTGTTATTTTAATTTCAAAAGATTTGCTTTCAGCTGTGTTCAACGACTTTCCATTTGACATTTTCCACAAGGTCAGCTAAAGTGAGAGATACGCTTTCAGGTATAGTTCTAGCTCTTTTTATTAACACTGAAAATTGAATGCCATTCCCTTCACCTAGGATGCAACAGTACAGAAAGGAAATAAACCTCCCCTTAAAAGAATGTATAAGCCCAGATAACCATAATATGAACTAAATAACTGAAAAAAACCTTCTCCACTGAGTGTATAAACAAGTAGAAAAAAGTCTCACTCAGAGAAAAGCTATAAAGGGCTCAGTATAAAATACATGAGATTTAGCAAGTGGAGTCCTATGTGGGATTTGTCCAAGTTGATATTCATTTTGTACTGATAAGCTGAATAACAAAAGAGAGTGCATACTTAAAAAGCTTTGGCTTCAAGAACTTTGATTAAAGTAGTGTATCAGCAGCACATTTATAAGCTGCCAGAGATCTCTGCTTGGGTTTCTTAACTTGCTTCTTGATTTCAGTATGAGAAACAAAAGGGATTACTCTGTTTTCCTACTACAACAAAAGAATAGTTTTAAATACCACTAAAAGAATAGTTCCTAAAGCGAGGTGTCCTTGCCCATGGCAGGGGGGCTGGAACTTGATGATCTTAAGGTCCTTTCCAACCCTAACTATTCTATGATTCTATCATTCTATATGCTTACAGCTATATAATATAGCAAGAAGTTTTTACTGGTATTAGCCAGAAGATTATTGTCTCTAGTACTCATCTGCATTTTAGTTACATCCTGCTATATGATACGGTTTAGTGCGAGGTGTCCCTGCCCATGGCAGGGGGTTGGAACTTGATGATCTTAAGGTCCTTTCCAACCCTAACTGTTCTATGATTCTATGATTAGATATAGTGCCGCTTTAACCAAACCAGAAGATTCCACATTTCATACAGTTTCCCAATAACTCTTCTGCCAGAGATTCAACTTTGTCCATAAGCATTAGTCCTGGGATGAGTGCAGGCCTCTAGAGGCTTACATGAAGCAGCCAAAGCTCCTTCTGTTTTTTTTTAATCTGCCTTCTCCACACCAATCCCATAGAGAATCCCTAACAGGCAACGGCCAGAACATCACTACTGCTTCTGCCAATGAAGAGTGAAAAGGGACAGGTTGGTGACTCCCCATTTTCTTGAGAGCAAAACCTAGGCAGTTTCTTTCACCCTGAAGCCCAGGGAAAGACCTGCAAACAAGATCCTGCAGCTGTCACCTTCTTTCCCTCTTTCCCAGAGCCCTGCGCTGCCAGCACTGGTGGGCAGGCAAAGCTTACCCAGCACAGTTCAGGGCACAGTTCAGAACCTGCTCGGGCTGCAGGGTGGAGACACAGTTTTTAGTCCTACCTGTCCATATGTACACCAGAAATCAACCATCTTCATCTGCCCCTTACTAGCAAGAAGTTATTAATTAATACTGACATTAATGTTGGAAGTTTCTACACAAGTGTCAAGTTTCTAAAGTAGGTTTAGCAAGTGAAAGACAAACGAGTGCTATGGAAATAAAGCATATCAATGAACTTTCCAGCGGGCCTGTGAAAATGCTCAGCAGTGCTATTCCCAGTACAGAATCTTCTCATTCAGATGGGTGCACGTACTAATCCTGTAAGTCTCCACAATCAGGACTTCCTACTATAGGAAGAGAACAACTTAGAAAAAGAGATGTTTAAGACTGAATTACAATTTTCCTTTCCAGTTAGGGCATTTTAGGTTAAGTCAAACAATAGTTGATGACAAGGATTTCTGCTTTAGATAAGAATTTGTTTCTACCTCAATCTTGGCACAATATGTGATGTGCCATTTACCTTTGTGCACGATCTGAACCAGACATGGATTAACAAAACCATTTTACCTATTAAAAAAACCAAGAAGACGACAATATAGAAAACATGGGTTTGGTCACATCTATAATGAAAACCACTGATTTTCTGAGTGCAATGCCCTGTTCCGCAGTCTACACAAGTGATTATCAGTGCATAATGACAATAACTGCCACTATTCTTGTGACACAAGGCTAACAGATGTTAATGACCAGCATCATTGCTGGCATTTCCAAAAATTATCACTTTCCCAAAACAGTAATTTTTTTCTTACTGCAGATACTGAGGCTTCCGCCTTTAGGAATTTCTAAGGATGTTTAAAGTGTTTCGACCAAAACCTCCAAGATCTGTGCATTTTGATAAAGGGATACAAAAAAGAAGGGGGGAAAATGTTGGAAATTAGGAGGGTGAATGACTATAACTCCATTTTCATTTTCCTCTCGTTGAAGCATAGGTATAGGCCATAAAGTGCTATTCCTAATTCTTTAGAAGCATATCAAGCAGGTATTCATCCTGTTTACGATAACCATATTTTTCCTTTTTTTCCTACCCAGAAAGCTTTTTAGGTAATGCCTCTGTTCAGGTAAACAGTTTAAGACTTTATTACACCAGTACATTTGTGTAAGTGATAGTTTTAGTTAGTAAGCCTACTTACATAAACGCTCTGTTTGTCTGAGAGCAACAGATCTGATCTAGCTGCAGATCTTACCTTATGAATCTCCAGTATCTGATGTAAAAGTTTATGTCCTATTTTATTTACTTATTTAAATCATTATCAGGTGTGATTTTTTTTTAATTATCTCAGACAACAGTCTTTTTGGCAGTGTTACTGTTACTTTTACAAGGATTTAAGAATACTAGGTTTCTGGTTGAGGCCTCTGACTCTGCGTGAGACAAAGTTTAAAAACCAAACATCCCCTTTCCTGCAATGCTGCGGTCATGAGAAAGGGTTGGAAATCACCTACAATTCCCCTGACCATGAGACATCTGACTAAAAAGCCACTTTGCTGCCTGAAAAATGTATCCTAACAGATACTTAGGGTCAGCTGCCCTTTCTTTCCTGCTGTAGGTTTCACTGCCTCCCCACCAGTACTCAAGAATGATGCTCCTTGTGTTCCTATCAGCAGCCACACTGGCCCATCGCTGAGCAAAGAACAGACAGCAGTCTGAATCATGTGCCCAGCTGCTGAATCCTTTCAGGAATAACATTCCTGAGCAAGACACAAGCAGGATGCAAGCCTTCTATTTCCTAGTGGGCACAGGACCGTCCAACATGAAGTGATGCACTGCAATGTCTCATACAATAGGCCACCATCAACACTGCACATTTCTAGAGCAATTTCCAGAAACGAATCATGGCAGAAATGGGTGCTCTGATTTTAGCAGGGCTAGCACAACATGAAAAGCTTATAAATGGGCTGCTGGAGCAGCAAGAGAGGGAGGTTAGGATCTGATGACTCAGGAAGCTCTTCCTAAATTTACTGTCCTACCCTGAGATTCAACCAAAGGCTTCTGTCTCCTGTTTTGAATCCAACATGGCCCTAAGAAGAAAATACAAAGTTTCCTGAAAGGTTTCTCTCTCATTTAAACCATTATGACAGCAGGCAGCTGCATTGCAGCTTGTACAAATAGCCATCAGATGTCACGAACCTTAGTCAACCAACCATCAGATGTCAGCACCTGCTCTGGTAGCTAGAACATGAAACAGGAACAAGCCCATTACTTCCCCACCATAACCTAATCTGAACCTGTAGAGATGACGGTACCGTAAGAGACCACATCTGCTTTCCATCTAAGTTACAAGTCTGTTCAGCTTTACTGACCAACAACTATGGCAGGCTTTGCTTCTGCAACGCCTAAGTCAGGTTTCCTGGTGGAACGAGCCCTTTCCTAACAGCCAGACATAACCAACTAACAGCCTGAAGTTACGTCCGCTTTTCCCGGCCTGCACTTCGCCCGGGCAGAGTTTCACTTGGAAGCGGCGGGAGATAGTACTGAAGCCGCAGGTCTTTATAACTCACTCGTTCCTGTCCCAGTGCTGTCCTGTGGGCAAGCAGGGACACCTGCAGAGCAGGTGGGTGGGTGGGCGCGCGCCCAACCGGCGGAGTGGAGCCGCTCCCGCTGTTCTCCCCACCCGCACCCCGCTGCCGCCCGGCCCCGCTCACGCCGGTAAGGCTCTCGGCCTCTCACCGCCTCTCCCGGCAGCCATTCTGACAGTGGGTGCTCGCTGCGCGCAAGGCCCGGCACATCCCCGGCCACAGCCTGTGGAAGCGAGCGGGCAGCCCGTCCGCAGCCGCCACGCTGGCCTCGCTCCCCTCCGGGCTGAGGAGAGCAGGGCAGCGGAGTGGAGCGGGGCGACTCACCACTTGGAGCGCTTTGGCCGGCAGCCGCCATCCCCACAGGTGCCGCAGGGTACATGCGAAGCAAAGGGAGGGCTTGGCCTGCGGCTCGGTGGTCTCGTTGTAGACGTTGCCGTTGTCCATGGCCGCGCTTCCGCCGGCTGCCCGTTGCGGGAAAGAGAAAGCAAAAGGGCGGCGGCAGCAGCAGCGGAGGAGGTAGAGAAGGTAGAGAAGGCGGCGGCCCGCCTGGGGAAAGACGTGTCCTGTAGCGGGCGCTCTCGCGCTCCCCGGTGGCCAGTGGGAGGGAGTGCCGAGCGCTGCGTGAGGTGGGCAAGCAGGGCCGGGCTAAGGGCGGCGGAGTATGTTCGCCTCAGGCCTGGAGCTGCTCCCAGCTTCGTAAGGGAGCTTATTAAGAAATTTACAAGATTACACCCTCCTGTTGCCACACGAGATTACGGGGAGGGGTTTTTAAACCAAAGCTTTCTCTGCTGTCAGATAAAACAGTAACATCCCTGAGTCTCTAATATACTTCCATTCCCTTGCCCAGACGAGTTTTTAAAAGAAGCTACAGCTTTTGGTGCCTGCAGAAAAGCAGATTGAGCCCACTGTATGCAAGCAAAGGTGTGTTAAGTTCTCTTTATATTATTCATGTTTTATCCACAGAACTATTATGGACCCTTATAGGCAAGTTCAGTTATACTTCACTTACTTAAATCCAGTCAGATACAATCTACTGGCCCAAAAGATGGCAATTTGCTTTCTTAACCATAGCTGTATATATGCTGAGGTGACAGAGCAGGCTGTTCAGGCACCGTTTTCGTTTCAGAACCACACAGTGAATGGAAGGATGTGTGACTCATGAGGTAGGTGCTATTTTTAACTCCACCAAGGGCCACCGTTAACTGCACAGGTGAGACAGTACAGGCCAGATAAAAGCAGTCAGGCCATGCTGCGTGCTGAACACATACCAGCAGGCTGTGTGCATCACCTCTCCCAGTAAGATGTGCAGGGTCCCCAGGCAGGATGGTGCAGAATTGTCTGTGCCATAAACAATGTTTGGCTGCAGGAACTGGCTTGAGAAGCAAATGGGTATGGCAGGTTGTGTAATTCCCAAGGCATGTGAGTTTTCACTAAAGTAAGGCATCACCATGGGTGTGCCCTACCTTCGCCCATTGGGGTTGGAATGAGTTTAACTGCAGGACTGAGCAGATAGTCATTTACTGTTACCACCTGAGTCCTCAGTGCCTTCAGTATCTTTTATTTGTATTAGTACATCATAAATAAGATTACATTACATGGCTGGCATCTCTTTTCTGACAGAAATTACCTTTTTGTTTTATTTTCTTCCTTGATAATATCTCAAAACTGGCTGAATAGCTCTAATGCCAAAAAATGTGTGTTTAGGCTATGCAGTGGTTTGAGGGAGACAGGACTTAATGACAGGACAGGAGATAGAAGCAAGATAGTTCTTTTAAGGTGTTTGGTAGCATCTAAGGCTATTTAGTAGTTGCTTCCTTTTGAATCATTACCAGTGTCTTAATGCCACATTGCTAGATCATGAACATAGATGTTAGTATTGAACACTGCTCTTCAAGGAGTCATAGAAGCACAAGACCAGCCTACAAAAGATAAAATATATGGCAACATTTTCTAGTTACTGCTGTCTTTAAGAGTTGTTTTTTCCTGTTCAGGCCTTCTCCAGGAAATACATATCAATGATGCATGAATTATAAAGGCTAGCTTGCCATTTCAAGCCTAACTTATTAGGTCATTTCATTTATTTGTAAGGAGTTGGAGGTTTTCCAAAAGCAACAGCAAAGCTACAGGAAATGTAAGATCATGTGACAGAGAAGGAATGAAAACTGAACAACACAGGACCTGATAGCTTAAAAATACTTGAAGCGTTATTTTAAAACATACAAATACTGCTTTTCACACAAACTGCAGTGGTTCTTCACCCTTTTCATCAGCCCTGCCTTGAAAGTATAAAATTCTTTAAGAAGAAAATGCAAATCATAACATCAGTTGCAATAAATAACAAACCTTCTTAATGCAAATAACTGCAATTAGCTTGCTGCGATGTAGTGGAAATCCCATTCCAGATGTACATCTATGCATTTCCTTCTGTTTATGTGCTGCACTTCACAGTTTTCCAGAAATTTAGGTCTTTCTTACCCTTCCACAGCCTCTGCTGGAATGGCAGGATCAGAGGTAAAGACAAGACACAGTGCCAGAGAAGCAGGCCTGGAGTTAGATCGTGAGCTACAGTAACATGCCCAGGCAGAGAGTGGGAGATCAGTGGAAGCAGGTTAATGACAGGTGACCTACTTTTCTAAGCCACGACCAACCTGGCTTTGAACACTGCCAGGGATGGAGCAGCCACAAATTCTCTGGAAAACCTATGCCAGTCTCTCACTACCCTGGTAGTGAACATTTTTTTCCCTAATATCTAATCTAAATCTACCCTCTTTCAGTTTAAAGGCTATAAGGTTTTTAAAGGTTAGTTTATAAGGTGGATACAGGCCAGGACTGCATCACTGTTTCCAATAAGTGATGCCCTGTTGGCTTCCTGGCACTAGAATGCTGTGTTACAGGATGACGCCAGAGCTTAAGTCCCTCCACTCAGAACTGGAAGCAGGGCTCCACTGACCTCATGAATGAACAGTCTCCTTTTCCCATGTTCCTAAATGCAGCTATGGGACTATTTGCTTGTTTTCTTGGAGGGCAAGGGAAAAATGAAGTAGAGGAATGGGAAAGCAACTGCAAAGCCCAAACCACTGAAAGAGCCAGACCCAGTTTCTTTAGAAGGGTGGTGAGGTTTTATGCTACTGCACAACTTGGGGAGCTCCACTGAAGTTAGCCAGTCAGAGGCACAGCTTTCTCCCTGGCCTTGGGTCTGGTGCTCCCACACGGGCACCTCAAGAGCCTTTGTTCATGACCTGTGTGTTACACGAAGTAAATAAAGGATGACTAAATGGAATATTCCAACTACTGTAACAGTCCAGAAAAAGACTTGAATGTGTTGCCTCTGCTGAAGCATCTTCAGCTCTGGAGGCTCTATTTTTGGGCTCAGTATTTTAACTGAACTTCACAAGCCCTGATCACCATACTAACATGCTAGAATGTGTGATTTTTAAACAGATGAAGATGAAGAACTGTCATTTTTAACAGCTATTTCCAAGTATCCCTTATGGCACAAGAGAAGCAAACCCCTTGATTCCCCACATTTCCCAAAAGCAGGGTTAGGCCAACTCTTGTCAATGGTTTGCTGCCTATGTCTGCATGGCGCGGAGCACAAAGATGTGAGATTCAGTAGGCAGCAGCTCTGCAGCTGCATGTCTCTTACTGCAGATTAAGTTTCCTCCCTAAGAAGAGACTTCAGCCCAACAGGAACTTGCATTTCAGATGTATTGCTAGAAATTCAAGGTTAGTGTAGTATGGTGGTTAGTCCATTTAACCTAGATGTCACCTGCACATTTTGGAGACTGCTATTTTCAAATGAAAAATATGAACTGTCTGGAAATGAAGTGGCCTTTTACTTGGAATTTTCAATCTTAAAATCCATAGAACAGCTTTATTACAATCAATATACTCAAGGAACTGATATAGGAACATGTAAGAGAAAAGGAGGAAGAAGAGGTTTGTGAAATTCCCCTAAACCAGTTTAGTTTGAAGAGAATCAGCTCTTTTTCTAGACAGAACTAGCCCTGAAGGTGTAAAGGAACTCATTTAGTTTATTCATGTTGCAGTGTTTTTGCAGTATTCATACTGCATTTAAAAAGTGTTAATTGTTCTTTATCAAAAAATCATCCCCTGCAGTTCTTGTATTACCCCTTTGCTTTCTGCATCTTGTGTGGTAGACTGAAACTTTGTACCAAGTAACACCAAGTATTAAAGGCACACAAGAGTGATCGGAAGGAAAATTATTTATACCATTACTCTTTTTAAAATTGGGGTCATCACAAACCTAACCCATCCCCAGCTTTGGTGGTGAAATGACAGTATATATCCCTGACAAATTAGCTTTATTCAATTTATTTCTTACTTGCCTGACTTGTGAAGGAACGAAACTGAGGAGAAGGATGGACTGGTACTCCACATCTTATGAAAAGGGCCTCCTGTCAGAGACTCATTTTACATTATAGTTCTGGTAAAACCCACCTTAGTTGCCTACTCTCATCAAAGCAGAAGGCACCTTAAGAGAGCAAAGCAACTAGCTCAGTAGTCTTGGTCTTACTACAGAGAAACAAGCCAATGCCATCAAGTTACACAGAAACACATTCTCTGATGTTTCCCTTTTGTGATAAAGGTACCCTGAAGTCTTTTTTTTCCTCCCAACAGCATGAGCAGGCTGCAGAGAGAGTAAGCACTGGTAAGAGAATTGGAACTTGACATTTTGGAGGGAAGCAGGCTGCTTTAGTCTTGTAGAATGAAAAGGCGTGTTAGGGACACAGCCTCTTTGTAAATAACAAAACAAAACCAAAAGGAAAAAAAGAGCCATCAGGGTTTAGGGAAGACATAAACTTAGAAGCTTTAAATATGCAGAAGTAAAATTTTGCCAACCTTATTTTGAGAAATGAAAATTATGAGTCATATGTAAGGCTTTTGCCTGTCCCAGCCTCCACAAAAAGAAGGGCACTCAATGCAGTAGTTCATTAACATATTGCATGTCTAGTTTTCTAGCTTTGTTAAGGTGATGTGATCTGAGAGATGTTCAAATGAACAAAATAAAAGATTGCAGGAGCTAAAGTTTCCATTCAAAAACTACGAGAGTACCAACTAGTTTAAGATGTTGCCCTCAAATCCAGTTTCACCCTACCACCAGATACCACTGCAGCTGTAGGAGGAAGGGTGGTGGTGACAATTCAGGCAGGTCTCATTCTTTCAAGCACCTTTCAAATTCTGTATCAAATTCTCATACAGAATCTAGAGAAATGCTCAGATGCTGGTGCAGGCCATGCATCCATGATTCGAAGCTTTATTTTTTTTTCCTTCAAGACATAATTTATCCTGTACAGTGTTTCATCAGCTGGTCATGCATTGCCCCATGTGCCACCCTTTCTGAATCATAGCAAAGCAAAAGTTTATTAGGACTCCGTTTTGAATAACTAATCCATAGTTAATCTCTACTGAAACTTTTCAGTTCACAATTCCATCCTCAGAGTCAATTTTAACAAGTATGTTTAAATTTAGGGAGTTCAATGGACAAAAGAATGTGTTGTTCTTGAGTAAAGAAAATACAGAAGTAATTCACTAAGCCGACTACAGAGTGCAGGAATTGGAGGAGAAGAGCACCACCATGTGCAGAATAAAGATGATTTGTCCCCTCCTCTTCATACTTTACAGAAGTTTTCTAAATAATCAGAGAAATTAACCTAAGACCTGGCAATTTAAAAAACTAGAAAGCTGAGCTCATTAAAGTCTCTTAGCTTGGTCACTTGGTCAGGATAAGCTTTTCAGGCTTCCTATTCATTGGCTATCAGTAGAAATCAACCACAAATTTCACACTGGACAGCAAAGTGATGCTTGACATTTGTGTACTGAAAGCTTAGATCCGAGTCCTAACCTCAGTCAACTACCTCTCAGACAATATACTGGAGTCATCAGCAGGATCCTTGGTA